GGGACAAGGCCAAGCTGTAAGGGCAAGGACGAGGTGCCCCATCCCAAACAGTGACAGGCTGGCTCCCAGGCCGCTGGCAGGGTCTTGCACGGCAACGGGAGGCTGAGACCCCAGGCCTGAGTGTGCTCCCACTGGAGGGGGCCAAGGAGCTCAGGAGTGACTTCCCCGTGGGGATGAAGGGCTAGCTCCCTCTCTAGCGCCCGCCAGCTCCAGGAGAAAAGGGGACAGAGCCTCTGCCTGGGCATTCCCCACCCAGACACACCCCCAGGACAGAGAACGCCAGGGGCAGCACCGTCTTACAGGCCCCACACCAGCACCCCTTGGAGGGAGGATGTGAGGGAAGCCCCAGGGCTGCGGTCATCGCACCTTCTCCTCCTTGCTGATGGAGCTGTGGCGGGCCACCCTCTCCATCCGCCCCACGTAGATGGCACAGTCCTTCTCAATCTCCTTCAGCTCCTCAGGGGAGAAAATCACAGAGATCCGGGGGACAGGGACGTCGGACCAGCAGAGATAATGCTGCCACGGAGGGAGACCCACTGTGAGCCCGGTGACGTGGCCCCACACCCAGATGTTTCTCTGCTTTGGTCCCCCAAATGGGACAGTTCATTCCTCAACTAAGGGGAACAACACCCTCCACAGCCCCGAGCACACCAGACACGCTGCTTGGGACCTCCACCCAGGCCCAGGCTCCCTGCAGCAGAGGCAGGTCTGACCCCACAGATGACCTTCAGAAGCAGCTGTGGGGACCTGGAGGTCCTGAGCCTCCTGACCAGAGGGCCAGGCACTGAGGTCAGCCCACACAGGACAGACTGGGCCCTGCTCCACACCAGCCCTGGAGCCCCACCCTCCCCCAGCCAATCTCCGGGCAGCTCCTGGGAGCTCCCCACTCCTAGCTCACCTGAATAGCCTCTGCACCTGTCCTGGCCGTTCTAGTCAGTTCTCAGCCCAGAAGGGACCCATTAAACAAAGGCTGAACCTGGCCTCTCATCTGCCCTGCCCCTGCCCAGCCCGGCACTGGCCCCCTGGTCCAGCCTCCACCCTCTCTGTTCTGCTGCTTGGAAGCCCCAAGTCCACATGGCCAGCTTGCCTGCCTCTCTGCTCAGACATCAGACAGCACCTCTCAAAGGATGTCATCCATCCACACCCACCACCGGCCCCCTGGGCCTTGGCCTCATGGATGCTGGCACAGGCCTCTGTCCAAGCCTCTGCTCCAGACACAACTCCCTGAACCTGCCTGGTGCCTCTTCCTGCAGCCGCAGCCCATTCCTACCCAATGGGCCTTCTCCCACGTGGAGGTTGGAGGGAGGGAAGGGGCCCACTGCTCCTGGCCTCAGAAATGCCTGAGCTTTTTTCCCATCTCTGAGCACGTGCCCAGAGACAGGAGCCATTCGTGGAACTCAGGGGACCCCAAGGGGACCACAGTGCCAGCTCCAAAGCGCTGATCCAGAGATGAGAACAGACAGCCAGGTCTCGGGGGACAGGGACTGACGGATCAGAATCTCAGCTCCCAGGGGCTAGAGGGACAAGGGGCAGGGTGAGGGGAGAGCTCGAGCGGGGCGTGGGGGGACCATCCTCACTCACCCGGGGGCAGCAGAGCTTCAGCAAGTTGATGGTCTTCCCGCAGACATACACGTCGTGAGCAATGTGCTTCAAGAACGCAGGCACACAGTCCTCCGCCTCCTTGGAGATGAGCACATAGCCGTGGGTCCAGTAGGACTTATCTGAATGCGGGACAGAACACATGGCTGTCCTGTATCCAGGACCACTATGGCCCACCTGACAGCGTGGAGGTCCAGCCCAGTAGCCAGCCACCACCTACCTCTGAAGCCCAGGTACTCATGGTTCACCTGGATCATGAACTCGCCATAAACATCTCTGAAGACCCCACTGTACACCCAGTCATAGATGAACCTGCCAGGGTGGGTGGGCCAGCAGTGAGGTGGGCGTGGGGGCACCAGGGTGGGCATGGCAACCATGGGGTGTAGTAATCTTCCCAGGGAGCCCTATCCAAGCTCCCCGACTCTACCCTCCCAATCTACATCCCTACAATCAGCAGGTATCTGACAAGGGAATGCAGCTCAAATATCTGCTAAGACAGAATGTGGCCCTGCCCTGCCCCGGCCCCACCTCCCACCGAGTATAGGGCTCGCAGCTGGTCTTGAGAAGGGACAGCAGCACCGGGTAGTGCTCGTTGCTGCAGTTATCCAGGGCCTCCTGGTAGAGGTAGGAGAGCAGCTTCACCCCCTGCAGACAGCAAGGAAAGGGGGCTCAACACATGCACACGGCAGAGGAGACCCTGCAACTCTACCCAGGTGGTCACAGCCACACCCCCTTTCCTGGAGCAGACAGAACTCACAGTGGGGAAAGAAGCCCTGGACTCTCCTCCGCAGGTACCTACACCACAGAGCTCAGCCAAGTACCTAGACAGAGAGGCCAGGTGAGAGCAGATGAGCAGAATGTGTCCAGGCCCTTCTCTACCCATCTTCATGCTCTGGCTTTAAAACCAGCTGCACCTCAAGGGTCTCAGATTTCAGCTTCCTACTGGATCCCTCCATGGGCACCCCATGCATCTCCACCTCCTTCCCAGCTTGGCCAGGGCTCCAATTTCTCTTGAATACTGACCCCTCCCCTGCACCTGGGCTCTACCCTGAGCCCCCACCTGTACCCCCACCACCTCACCCAGGTTGCCACCTCCTCTGGCCTAGATGACTGCTAAACCCTCTCTCAGGCCCTCACCCTCTCCACCCACTATAGTCCACACAGCAGCACAGCACCCCCCTAGGCCCCCACTTCCCTTACTATACCCATATCTAGCCCTTGGGGCTCCCATACTCCTCCCCTCTGCCTAGAAGGCCTCCTCTCCCACTGAACTCACCTCCCCCGAGCCCCCAGCCCCTCGCTCTCTCTTCTCCAGACAGCACCTGCTGACAGACACTCGCCTGGGTTAACTAACTGGTTCCTGAGTGCCAGGGGCCAGGTCTGTGGGGACCCTGTGTGCCCTTCAGGTGGGAGCCCCGACCATAGTAGACTACCAACAGATACATGCCCAGCATCCAGCACCTGATAAACTCAGCTGGGGCAAGGGCTGTCCACACAGCTAGCAGGAGGGCTGTCCTCCAGGCTCCCACCCGCCCCCCACGCTCGGCACTGTGCTGTGGCTCACCTGAGCTGCCGGCCCAGCTTCTTGAAGAGAAAGCGAATGGTAAGGAGGCTCAGGGTGGGCGGGGTGGCAAGGACACAAGCCCGGTAATACTGCAGGTACCTCCTCAGGCCGCTGGTGAAGGCCTATTGGGCAAGGAGACTGAGAGGAGAGCACTGGACACACAAACACCCCTACTGAGCTCAAAGCTTGAAAGGGTACACTGGTGCTGGGGAGAGGGCTTGGCTGCCATCCCCTAACTCTGGGCTTCATTTCCCTAGGAATGGGCATCTGTGGTTCAGCACCAGCTCCTGGAACTCAACTCGCCAAATAAGGAAGCTCTGCTGTCAGTATCATGCAACGCACTGGGGATCCAGTGGGGTAGAGCATACGACCTGGTCTTTGCCCCAGGTTCCCCAAATGTGGGCCACACCTGCCTCCCACTATCCCAGGTTTCTAGTGAAGCGGCGACGGTGAGACATCCTGTTCCTGAAGGGTAACCATTAGGCTTCAGGCATTACCAGGAAACAGGCTTCAGTGGTGCTAGGTGAGACCCCTGAGGCCCTTCCCGAACCTCATTGTGCAGTGTGCACAGTGCTCGGGAAGGGCTGTAACAGCCCCCATGAGGCCAGGGCCTACCTGGAACACGAGGCCCTTGCTGCACGAGGCGTCCAGCACAGGCTGCAGAGAGAAGTGGCTCAGGCGTGCATAGTGGGTCCCGCACTCAGCCACCTCTGAGAGGAGGCTGCTGATGCTCTCAGGGGACGTTCCCGACACGTGGATCCCCCGCTTCACCATGAAGGCCTGAGTTGGCTGGAGAGGGCAAAGGAGAGGTCCCTAGGGCCATATGTCCAAGACCCCTTCCACCCATGTACCAACCACAGCTCTGCCCAGAGAGCCCAAGACTAAGAGTCCTACCCAAGACACATGAACAGGAAGTTCCAAAGGCAAAGAGCAGATGGCCACAGAGCATACCCAGCTGTCCCACCCCAGTAATGAAACACACAGAAACAGGGTGTCATTTCCACTGACCACACTGAAGACACATTTAAATGCCAAGCTGTCCGTGGAAAGGGTGCAGGGAGACAGGGTGCCCTCCACACTACACAAAAAGACCACATGGAACAACCTTCTTGGGGGCGGAAGCTTTAGAAAATGGCCATTGGAGCTGATAACCTGGCTCCTGGGGACATGTCAGAGGAAGCAATGGACAACACACACAGTATCTGCCACAGCACATTCCCACTCCACTGCCTGCCCCTGAGAACAGACAGCCTGAGGGATGGCCAACACAGCACAAGGGGATCCAATGACAGCGGTGTAAAAGGAAAATGCATAGCCCATGTGCCTATGTTAGAAGGAAGAAAGGTCTCAGGTCAGCAGCTGCACTGCACACTTTAAGGAACTAAAAAAGCAGCAAACTAAACCCAAAGCAGAAAGAGGGAAATAACAAAGATGAGACCAGAGGTACGTAAAATAGACTAGAAACAGTAAAAAGAATCATGAAACCAAACGTTGGTTCTTTGAAAAGATCAACAAAATTGACAAACCTTTAGCAGGACTGACTAAGAAAAAAGATGACAGAGAAAAGGAGAGGAGACGAAAGTGCCAGAATCAGAAGTGACAGTGGGACATCACCACCGGTCCTTCAGAAATACAAAGGGCAGTAAGATAACACCACCAAATCAGATGACCCAGGTGAAACGGACAATCTCCCAGGAACATACAAAATTGCAAAACTGATGCAAGAAGAAATGGAAACTCTACACAGACCTCTAACGAGGACACAGATTCCTAGCCAAAGCCTCCTGTATGTGAGGGCCTGACCCCCGTCTTGAGCACCCATTCACCCTGCAGACGCAGCTGCCAGTGAAGCATGAGAATGGGACAGGCAGCCCCACCGGCGAAGTTCCCCTTTTAGAAACTCCAGGCGGCCTAGATAACTGACCACGTGAGTGACCACAATTCTCGCTCCCTGCACCCTAATTCCCACCCTTGTGTTGTAAATTCACCAATAAAGAGTAAACCTACAAAACCCTACGCAACCCCACCCTTCACCCCAATGGAGGCAGAGCCCCAGATCCCCTCCCTCCTCTCTCTCTCCCTAAGACCTCGCTGTGTGGTCCCGTAGGTGCTGTGCACCCTCCGAGACCTGTGAGGAGTAAATTTTATTCTTCAGAGTTCCCTAATGGTTTCTTGCTGAGGTGCATCCTGAAATCCAAGGTATCACAAGGGCTGGTCCATCCACAACACAGCCGGGTGCGGGGGGAATGTATGTGGGGGCTGCCACACATCAGTGCAGGCGGAGTGAGTGTCTCAGGCATCCCAAACAAGGTCATTATCCACAGGCTAAGACCAACACACCTCCCAACACTAAAATGATAAATGTTATGTGTATTTTGCTGTACTTTAATGGCTTCACTGGTGACTTCTACCAAACAAAGAACTATGCCCTGGCTGTTCTGGCTCAGTGATTAGAGCATCAGCCCACAGACTGAAGGGTCCTGGGTTCTATCCCAGCCAAGGGCACGTACTTGGTTGTAGGCTCCATCCCCCACTTGGTTGGGGCGAGTGTAGGAGGCAACCAATCATTGTGTCTCTCTCACACTGATCTCTCTCTCTCTCTCCCTCCCACCCTTTCTGAAAAAGCAATGGAAAAATAACCTCAGGTGAGGGTGAAAAAGAGCTACCACCACCGACCAGCGTGGCTGCTGCTGAGCAGCGACCTGTGATCCCGATCACGGTGTGATTCCTAGTCGGGGCACATGCCCGGGATGCGGGCCCAATCCCTGTAGGAGGCATGCAGGAGGCAGCCGATCAATGACTCTCATCATTGATGTTTCTCTCTCTCTCTCTCTCCCTCCTTCTGACATCAATAAAAATATTAAAAAAAAAAAAAAAAGAACACACACCAATTGTTCTCAAACTCTTCCAAAACTTGAAGAAGAGGGAGTGGTCCCTAATGCTATGAGGTCAGTATTGTCCCAAATCAAAGCTGGATAAATACATCACAAGGAAGGAAACTATGGACCAATATCCCTGTGAACACGGATGCAAAATCCCCAGTCAAGTCCTACAGTCCGAATCCCACACACAGCCACGACGGGGTGGTTTCATCTCAGGAACGCAAGGGCAGTTCCCTCCAAGATCAATCACTGTGATACAGGTCACAGAACCTCAACTGACGCCCCAAACACGCATGTGACAAAATCCAACACACTTTCATGACAAAACACTCGCTAAGTTAGGAAGAGAGCGTCCTCACTATGATAAAGGCATGTACACAACACCCAGAACCGACGTCACAGGCAGTGGTGGAGACGGAAAGCTTTCCCCTGGGATCGGAAACAAGACCAGGACGCCTGCTTCTACTTTTGTCCAAATGGTGCCAAAAGTCCCAGCCAGAGCCATCAGGCAAGAAACAATAAATAAAAGGTATCCAAATTGGAAAAGACGTGAAATGATCTATTAGTAGATGACTTGATCATACGTATAGAAAACCCTAAAGAAGCCACACAAAGACTACCAGAATAAGCAAATTCTGCAAAGGTGCAGCTACAAAATCAACACACAAAAATCAGTTGTACTTTTATATACAGGCACTAAGAAAGCTGACAGGGAAATTAAGAAAACAATTATGTTTACAATAGCAATATGAGAATAAAGTTACTTAAGAGATAAATTTAACCGGGAGGCAAAAGGCTTGCGTAAAGCGTTGCTGAAACAAATCAAAACCTAAGTAAATGGAAAGACAACCCATGGTCATGGACTGGAATATTTAATACTGTTAAGATGACAGTACTGCCCAGCCGGGCATGGCTCAGTGGTTGAGCATCGACCTAGGATCCAGGCAATCAGGGTTCGATTCCCGGTCAGGGCACATGCCCCAGTTGAGGGCTCGATCAATGACACTCTCATCATTGATTTTTCTCTCTCTCTCTCTCCCTCTCCTTTCCTCTCTCTGAAATCAATAAAGATATATTAAAAAAAAAAAAAGATCACAGTACTATCCAAAGCCATCTATAAGTTCAATGCAATCCCCATCAATATCCCAATGGTGTTTTTGCAGAAGCAGAAACAGAAAAGCCTTTTCTAAAATGTATGTGGAACTGCAAGGGGCCCTTAATAACCAAAGCAATTTTAAAAAAGAAAAGAGTTGGAGGACTCACACTTCCCAAGTTCAAAACTTACCACAAAGCTACAGTAATCAAACACCGCGGTCCTGGCATGAGGACAGAAAGACAGACTGATGGAACAAAACAGAGAACCCAGACATAAACCCTCACATACATAGTCAGTTAATTTTCAACAAGGGCACAAAGACCATTCAATGGGAGAACAGCCTTTTCAACGCATGGTGCTGGGAACACGGGACGTCCACATATACACAAAGGATGTGAAAGCAGGACCCACACGGAGATCTGCACACCCATGCTCACAGCAGCCAAGAGGTGAAAGGAGCCCAAGTGTCCATCGACAGGTGAAGGATAAGCATGGTCCACACATACATGGAATGTTGCTCAACCTTAAAAAGGAAGGAAATTCCGACACATGCAACCACATAGGTGAAGCCTGAGGACACCGCACTCAGTGACATAAGCCAGACACAGAAGGACACACACTGTAGAGTCCACTGACATGAGGCACCTGGAGTCACATTCATAGAGATAGGAAGTAGATGGAGGTTGCCAGGGGCTGGGGAAAGGAGAGGGGATTAGTGTTTAATGGGGACAGAGTTTCTGTTGGGAAGATGGAAAGTTCTGGGGATCGATGGGGGGAAAAGGGACATCTGTAATACTTTCAACAATAAAGACAAAATTTGAAGAAAAAAAAGAAAGTTCTGGAGAGGATGGTGATGGCTGCACAACACTGTGAATGTACCTAATGCCACTGAGCTGTGCACTTAAGTGGTGAAGATGGTACATTTTAAGTTATGTGACAAAACACTATGAGGTCATGAAAATGGGGTGCTAGAACCGTGTCCAGAGGGAAGCCCTCAGCAGCAGCACCACCCAAATGTGCCCATGCAGCCGCTGTGATTGAGCATGTGAGACATGAAAAGGCCAGGAACTTCCGTGACAGGAGGCGGCACTGGGAGAACCTGTACAAAAGGCTTCATTTTCATCAATACATTCACATATGAGGCCCAACAAGAGCAAGGGCTGGGTAAACTGCAGTCCTGGTCAGGAGAAGCAAGGCCCCAGCCAAGTAAGTGGCCAGAAGAGATGTCCATGAAGTGAGAAAAGCCAGAGACAGTTGCCTTTCTGCGTGGCCCTTCCTGAAGGCCGCCTGTGCTGTCTGTGTGCAGGACGCTCGAAGGGCAAGGGCAAGGAAACAGCAGATCCATTTCTCCTGTTTCACTGATAGCGATGAATATCTCACTCTTGTTCAGTTTGTAAAAAGGTGCTAATAAATGAATAGTTTTTAGAACTGAAATGAGAAGCTTTTTGCTGCAGTCGTCACTGAGCAGCTTGCAGGTCCACCCAGCCCATCTACTTGCCGCACTGGCCTCCTCCTGCTCTCTGGCGTGCTCAGACAGTGCCGGCCACAAACCCTGCACCCGTGTAGTGACCACATGCTGTCGGCACCCCTTACCTGGCAGAGGGGAAATGTGGTAGACACAACCCCAATCAAGACGTTCAGCACATCCTTCACCAGCTCGCACTCCTGCACCAACACGGGCTGCGTTGCCTGCAGGAGGCTCCCGCCCAGCACCTGCAGCTCCCCTTGGCACAGCCTGCAGAAACTGTCGAAGGCATCCCTTCCCGCCTCTGTGAGGTAGGGCTCCTCTCTGTGGCCAGGGGGGCTGTGGAGACAAAGCCACAGGCACCTCAACTAGATAAACACAAGGCAGGAGAAAATGACTGAAAATGTATAGGAAATACGGAGCAGGTATGTATCTAACCAGCCACCAGACTCTCAGTCATCTCTGTGGGTTTACTGCCAGCTGCGCTGGATCCTAACCAGGCAATTCACACAGAGTCCCACCCACCAGCACCCACAGAGCACACACTGTGGTCCTCAGGATGACCCCTCACTCACAATGTATCTTTAGGTTAAAAACAAGCATAAGGTTTGCACACCCACGTGCACAGCAGCATATTCACAACAGTCCAAAGGTAGAAGTAGGCCGAGTGTCCAGCGACAGATACATGGATTAAAAAAAATGTGATCCAGCCCTGCCTGGTGTGGCTCAGTTGGTTGGGTGTTGACCCATGCACCAGAAGGTCACTGGTCCGATTCCCATTCAGGACATAAGCCCAGGCTGTGGGCTCGATCTCCAATAGGTGCTGTGTAGGAAGCAGCCAATAGACGCTTCTCTCTCACTTCGATGTTTCTCTCTGTCTCTCTTCTCTTACCCTCTCCCTTCCTCTTTCTCTAAAATCAATAGAACAATATTTTTTTTAACATTTTTTAATTTTAAAAATTAAATTTTTTTTAAAAAACATGATCCATCCACACAAAGGAATATGATTCAGCCTTCAAAAAGAGGGACATTCTGGCACCTGCTACAACAGAGATGAAGCTTGAGGACATTATGCTCAGTGAAATAACCCAGACACAGAAGGACGAATACTGTAGATTCCACTTATAGGAGGTCCCTGCGATAGGCAGATTCAGAAAGTAGGATGGTGGTGCCAGGGGCTGCGGGGAGGATGGGGAGTTAGTGTTTAACGAGGACAGAGTTTCATTTGGGAAGATGGAAAGCTGTGGAGATGATAGTGACAGCTGCACAGCACTGTGAATGTAGTTAATGCCACTGAGCTGTGCACTTAAAAATGGTTAGTGTTCAATTTTGTGTTATGTGTACATTATACAAAGGATGGACAGAGCAAAGTCTCATGAATGTTCTTCTTTTTGTTTGTTTGTTTTTTTATTGATTTCAGAGAGTGGAAGGGAGAGGGAGAGAGAGAAACACCAATGATGAGTCATTGATTGGCAGCCTCCTGAGTGCCCCCTACTGGGGATCGAGCTTGCAACCCAGACATGTGGCCTGACGAGGAATCAAACCCTGACCTCCAAGCTCGTAAGTCGATGCTCAACCACTGAGCCACACTGGCTGGGCTCATGAATGTTTTAGCACAAAGCAGGCACACTGGGCCTTGTGAGTGCGGTTCTGGACACAGGGCACCTCTACTGAAAAGTATGAAAAAACTGTCTTTCAAAAATCCACTGGAAAAGTAATTTCTCAATAAACAGAGCATGGGAACACAGGCCTTTCTGAAACTTTTCTTCTTGTTTTCAACACCTGACCAGCTCTCTTCTCCTCCTCCCAAAAACCCTTGATTTTAGGTCTAGCAAATCAAAAAATATCGTTTATTTTATTTTATTTTAAACATATCTTTATTGATTTCAGAGAGAGGAAAGGAGAGGGAGAGAGCTAGAAACATCAATGATGAGAGAGTCATTGATCGGCTGCAGCCCGCAACCCGGGCATGTGCCCTGACCGGGAATCGAACCGTGATCGCCTGGATCCTAGGTCGACGCTTAACCGCTGAGCCACACCCGGCCGGGCTTGTTTATTTTTTCAAAGACAAAAGTCATTTTCCGAGGAGTGGGTAACGGGCTCCAAGCTGCAAGGACATCCTAACATGGACAGGTGTCAGACCCCCAGCATGTCTCACCTCCATGTCAGGATGGTACACAAGGTGCAAGGACAATATATCTCAGAACCCGTTAAAGTCATGGTGCTTTTTAACTGAAAATGCACCACACTGCGCTCTTCCCTCACTCACAACTATCTGAATGCAGGAGGAGCACACAGCTCCTGCCCTATTCCTGCAGGGTCACCCCAGCACCACCATGCCTCCCAGGACTCAGAGCCAAGGGAGAAAAGCCCATGAAGGAAACCAGCAATTCCCACTCATCTCCACAGAGAGCTCAGCCCCTGACAGAAGGAAACGGCTTCCCCAGAATGGGTGGCATCCTGTAGACCAACCGGCTCTCAGAGTGAGCCTTGGGGAAGGAGGGGTCCTCCAGAGGACTGAGGTAGGGACAGAGCTCACAGTCTTGGGGCTGTGCATGGACATGGCGCTCTGCTTCTGGCAAGAACACAGCTTTTTTAACTGCCCACGGCAGGAACCAAGCAGGTGGCTGGGGTCTAAATGGGAACAGGTTCTAAAGAGAGGCCTGCATCCCCCCCATTCCAGGAGATTTCAAGACACAAGCATGTCGCGGACTCAGAGAACCCCAGACCCGGATGAGCAGCAATCAACGAAACACTGCTACAACCACAATGACCAGCGGGAGAGCAGCACTCTCATCCTTCTAGATGTGGACAACAGTGGGCACGAAGAAAGTTCCCTCATCAGCACCCCGGCCCGGGAGCATTTCTTCCCAGCCCTGACCACACTGTCTGCCAGGCCTCACTCAGACACCTCAGATTGGAACCCTTGTGGTAAGGACGTTAACTCAAATGCAAGTGGCTGTTCCACTAAGAAGTGTGATCTGTGGAGCTGCTGGCACAGTGGGAACTTCTGTAAAGCCTGAAGGCCTTCCCCCCCAGCATTTCTCTAAACTCCCAGAACAAAGACAGTTTTGTGCACCAGCCTGACTGAAACTTCCTGGTCCCCAATCTTGTCATAGCAGCTTCTACCAGAGCCACCTGGGCTCTCTAGGTAAACGCACGATCAGATGCCAGAGGAGATCATTGTCTGCTGGGCTCTCTGGGTAAAGGTGTGAGCAGGTGCCAGAGGAGGTCAGTGTCTGTAAAGGCAAAGGTGCACGTACCAGCCGATTTGTTCCCAACACCTCCGCTTGCTGGCCTCATAGGTGAGCACGGCATCCCAGGGGTCGATCTCTGGGGTTGTGCCCTGCTCAGACTGGGAGTCGGGAGTCAAGTTGGATGCTGACTGGAACCCTTCATCTTCGGATGGGTCCACACTCTGAGGCACCTGGAAACAAGGGGGAAGGAGGAAACACCACGTCTGCCTTTGGGTCTGAGTTTCACTGTGTGATGGAAATTCTGGAACTTCTCCACACATTTACTCACACAGTAAAGACCTGGCAGAATGTTTCCTGTTTCTCTTGAGCACATATGTACCACACAGTGTTTTGCCTCCATTAAATCACTTAAGGAACTAAGTTAATTTACTAAAGTTACCAACTTCCAATTTCACACAACACATAAGTCTCAATATAACTCACAATGAAATGCATCCAGTCTGGAAATTCCATTTTGGGGAACCCAGCATAAAAGTCACACTAGATAACGAAAAATTTATGTAGACCAAGATGTTTGTGCCAGCATTGTTTGCTTGCAAATAACTTGAATGTCTCATAGTGAGGGAATGAGTGAGCAACGACAGTGCATCCTTTCGGCAACATTCATAAAACCACAAAATACAAAGTCCAATGATGACTGACTTAATAATGTAGGAAAAATCCCACCTTACAGGTGGGAAAAAAATATGTATTAAAACTTCATGTAGGGTATAAACAAACATTTTTTGCCACATGTGGTTACTGAGCCCTTGAAATGTGGCTTATATGACTGAGGAACTGAACTTTTTTTTATTGTGGTTAAGTTTTACCACTTTTTTTTTTTTTGATATGTTTTTATTGATTTTAGAGAGGGAGAGGGAGAGCTAGAAACATCAGTAAGAGAAACATCAATTGGCTGCCTCCTGCACGCCCCCTACTGGGGATCAAGCCCACAACTCCAGCATGTGCCCACCGGGAATAGAACTGGTGACCTCTTGGTTCAGGGGTCAACGCTGGCAGGGTGGAAGTGAACTTTTTATTTTAATTAACTTCAGTTTAAGTAGCACCTCTAGAGGCAGAATAAGTGACTTAACAACACGCCCTGTTGGGTAAACATGAGAAGCAGCATGTTGCTTGGGCCTACAGGTGGGCAGCAGTGTGCTATCCCAGGAAGGTGGGGAGCGGAAGCCTGGGCTCACCACAGCTCAGCCACCAAGTGGCCTGGACTCTAGCGCTGTCCTACCATTCCCGTGACAAAAGGAAGGTCAAAGGAGACATTTCCAGAGGCCCCAGGAGCCGGAGGCAAGAAAGCAGCACTTACCTTGATGGCCAGTCCAAAGAGGTCCGCGCTGTCAGGCACCGGGGGCAAGTCCAGCCGGACATCCATGTCGTAGGTGCGACTGTGCACAAGGGCTCCGAAGAGCGAGACCCGGGTGTCTCTCTCAAACCTGTCACCATAAGGGTCACCGTAAGAGAAGAGCCGGGCAGTGGGCAGGCCAGTGCCCGGCGTCGCCTCCATCACCTGAAGCGCTTTCTGGATCATGTCCTGACATAAATACTCCTCTCTGGAGATCAGAGACTGAACATCCATCTCAAACACACTCAGGTCGTAGCAGTCGTAGCCGCTGTAGGGCACGTTTCTCCCGACATGCTTGTTGTTTAAGAAGTAGTCCCGTTTTCGGGGCAGAACTTGAGGGGGCCCAGTGCCCGCCAGCTGAACCAGCAGGTCCAGAGCCGACCCCACCTCCACCAGCGGACAGCAAGGGGCTGCTTCGAGTTGCCCCACAAGCTCCTCCAGACGGTCAGCCTCGGGGCCCAGGCCCCCCACTCTCAAGTCAAAGGACAGCATGAGGATCTTGTTTTTCACCGGGAGCCTTGAGAGGTCAGGCTGCAGCTTGGGAGTCTCGTCTTGGAAAAGGTTTGTGAAGAGGGCATTGTAGGCCATCCTCTTGAGGCTCTGCTTCGCCCGCCTGCGGCTCAGGCTGCGCTGGCCCAGGAGAGCCTTGGCAGGGGGCAGGAGGGCCTCGCACAGGTCGTCGAACAGCTGGGTGATGCTGGCCATGCCCGCGCCGCTCAGCTCCCTCGGGCCCGACGGCCGGGGGCGGGTCCCACGGGGCTGACCGGCAGGCGGCCTCCTTCACTCCGGCCGGAGCCCGCGGCTTTAACTGCACCGGCGTCTGCGGCGGCCTTGCCCCC